GTTTCCAGTTTGTTGGAAATTTACCACTTTTGATGCTCATTTTCATTATGTAGGTGAGTGATGGAGCAATCTTGACCCCAGCCAATCCAAGGAGCCTTGAACTGGTGTCATATAATCCTACTGCTTTATTAACATCAAGTGAACAAAGATATTTTTGGGTAAAATCAACAGTAATATTAGGTATACTAAAACCAGTGTCTGGCGACAGCTTTGTTTTTAGAAATTTTGCTAAGTGATCAAAGTTTGATATTTGATCACTTTAGGAAGATGAAAGCTTTCCGGCCACTTCCGAAAAATAAAAATCACTGAAATGATTTGCAAATTCTTTTCTTATCGAAAATTGTCTCCTCACCAACAGTTAAAATTGTAGGTGTTGAGGAAGACCTTTTTGGGACAACTTCCGGAGCAAATTTTCGAAAGTTTCTTTAAGTTGTCTAGGTTATTTTCAACAACATGTTTATATGTGGCTTTAGCCTCTCTAATAAGTTTAGTAACTTTGTTCCGTTGTAATTTGTATTGTTTATATTCACCATTTCGTTTCAGTCTGTCTCTTATACATATATTATCTGAAATGGTTTCGTCAAACCAGTCAGGTTGTTTTGACTTTTTAACTCGCCTCTCAACCATTGGTTTATGATCATCTACCAAATCCATGAATAACAAAGTCCATGTACTCAATGCATCGTCTACATCTGTAAATGACTCAATAGTAGACCACAGAATGTGTTCCACGTCCCTAAAATATGTCTCATTATCAGAATTTTTAAAAGATCTGTACTTGATGTTGATATGTCCAAAGTAAGTTCCGAATGTGTGCTTGCGCACATAACACATCGGGTAGTGGTCACTAAGACCATTTTTAACGATCTTGACCAATCTGACAAGTTCAGATTCCGACACGAATAGGTGGACAATGAGTGTCTCTGAACCCGCTTCACGGGTCGGCTCAGTCACCATTTGATGTAAGTCAATGCTCTCCATCACATCAAGAAGATCACAAGTATCGACTCCCAGCAAATTTACATTGAAATCGCCTATAACAAGAAGTTCTTTGTTTTCATTTTGACATGAGCCCAGAAAACCTTCAATTTTTCCATCCAAATCTTTACATCACAACTTGTGTCTATTTAAGCATTGAACTGTTTTTGTATGGCATTTATGATCTATTTGAATGACACAGCTTTGCAAGCAAACAACATCATGCGCGCTAAAAACAGATCAATACTTATATTTACGTTTTCTCTGCCTCTTACGTTCTTTTTTAACTTATAATTTATATTTAAAATTCAAAATGCCCGCCTTATCAACAGTCTACAAAATTTCGTTCAATAGTTTTAACAGCGTGTTTGTCGCGTGCTGATTGGCAAACAAAGTAGTACTTTGAAATTTTAACAAACACTTCAATGTTATTCCACAATTCAGTATAAATACAGTTGCGTATGATATGTCTATAGGGTGATTTAAGTTTATCAATAGATCTCTGAGCTGAAAGTTAGATTTGAAATTGTTTCGATTTTTCTCCGGAACAAATATAGCGCATGGATAAATACAGTGAACACCGTAAATCCGACCTTGCCTTCCACGAGGGAGTTATTTTTGGAAGTTAATTCGAACTTTTCTCTTTGCTCATTTTGTGAAGAATCCAGACGTGAATTTATTTGTTGATTGTATGGGAATCTGACTATAATCTGTAGATTCTTTAACAGCCTCGTTATTTGACATGTCGTCAGAAACTGAGGAAACAGTGGCTGCGAGACGCGTTTGAAGTGAGTGATCTTGCGACGGAGCACAGGGGTTCATTACAAATGTCTGAAATGTTTATGTGTGCTGTGACTCATATCAGTAGGTCTGTAACATATGTGTCAGTAGGTCTATAAAATATGTCTATTTCAGACATTTGTAACGAACCCCTGTTGATCGGTGCAGTGTAACAGACGATATTTTTGATAAATTGCATGAGCGTTAACCGATGTGCATTTTGTACGATATTGCAGACCTTGGTCTTGTTTTTGTTGTAATACAAAAAATAAAAATAAAATAAAAAAAATTGCACATAAATTTACAATGACATTGTCAAATCTCACAATGCCTAGCGATATTTCAGCAGCCGTCATGTTAATTTACATTGTATATTGTAGTTCCGGTCAGTGTTGTATTAATACGCTAAGAATTATGTCTCGTGCTGCATGGTAATTAAAGTCCCATCAACGACACAGCTTCCAAAGAGGCTATATAGTGACAATGCCATGCAAATGTAAATATATATATATGAATAGAGGATTAGAGTTCTTGAATTGGATCTGTATAGACAGTATTTCCATTCCCTCTACTTCAAGGTTTCGACGTCTGATGTAAGGTATACTGCTGTTTACATATGTCCCTCCATCACCATGTCTATTTCCGTCCGGCCTGTCTAACCGTTCAAGATAATTACCATTTACATTGAGTTCCTCGTTAGTAATGTCTGAACGTTATAACATGACCATGTTTCTTGAAAACACAGTACGTATGTCCATATCCTGATGTTGGAAGTGGAGGGATAGTTCTGGTAATTTATTGTATATACTACGTATGTTCCATGAACACATTTCTGAGTGTTCAGCCTCCTCAACATTACCGTAATAGATATGCGCCAGTTTCCAGTTAAAAATGTAATCCCTGTATACTGCGCATGTACATGTATGTACAAAAATCAGACTGAAGTATAGGATCTTTACCTGTAGCAAAACTACTCACTGTACCGTCACAGGTGATTAAACACTCACCTAACAATGCCAGTCCAAAGCACACCACTTTACTGCATACTTCCCACCTCTCACAATGGAAAAGTGTGGGCAATAAATCACTTGCTACCACAGTCCACTGCACACATAATCCCCTTTCAAGGCCAATCATGATTACATGACCATGAAAGGGGGTGTGCCCAGTGGACTGTGGCCACAAATGCTGTAAGAAAGGGGAGATAATCAATCAGTGAGTAACGATGAAGTTAATACAGTAGAGGATAAACTTAGTTGACACATTTCAAATAAGGGGAAAAAATGAAAGTTAAAAATGGTAATTTCATGATTGAAAAAACACAAACAGATTTCCTTATCACGTGAGAGGATAAGCATTTCCCGGAAAAGTTTATAATCTTAAGGAGCTGTTCCTTTATACAAAATTGCACATTCAAATATACCATTCATTGAAAGAACTGGAATTCCTTAGGGATTGATAAACCCTTACATTGTATATATGAAAATGGTTTCAATATCCTGTACCTTTGCCACATCTTGAAAATTAAACTGAAAATGTAGTCAGAAATTCAACATTGTTTCCCGTATTTTGAACAGACACTCCTTAACTTCACTGACACTGGACCTGGATAGTAATCCAAAAACACTTGTATCCATTATGAAGGATACACTCAGACTGGGCTATTGAGAATCTTACCTGGTTATGATGTAAATTATCTGCAGTGGAGGGTAGGTAAAAAGATTGTCCAGGTGAACATTTTTTACTAAACTTTTCTGTTTTGTTCGAGTTGGGAAGCATGCAGTAAGCCAGTTATTGCATGATTTCTCGTCACTCGGGACCTATTACACCCTCGCTTCGCTTGGGTGTAATAAGTCCCGAGTTACTCGAAAACCATGCAATAACCTTTACATACAGGTAAGGAAACCTCTCCATTTACCTGGGCTGTTACTGTCAAGTTTCCCCATGGTGGAGCTCATAGTAGATATAATATTGGTCATCAAGTTAACTTGTCCAATTTGGCATCTACAGTCCATAAAATCACACATTTTCTCTGACGTTACGTGTAAAAGTCATTGATATGGACCTGTGCCCAATATTTTATAAAAAAAAAAACACCTTTTAAGTTTGGTAGTAAAAATTTGATAAATTGTTCCACACCATATAACATACATATAATCGTCTACACAGTCGGGTGAACAGAACTCATTCCGAATAAGAATGTATGAATAAACATGGCCATTACCAACAATTACGAGCATGGAGCATGAATTTGGACACACACTTACGTTACGTAACTGGAAGATTGAGACACAACGCTGAAGTTACGAATAGATATAACTGTACGTAGATAAGATGTTGTGACCTAGTGTACAAACATGCACATTACCAACTATTACGAGCGTTTACGGCCACTGTGTTACAATAGTTTAAGTAACCTAAACGTATCACGTAGTGAACACTGCATATATAACATTGCTTTTTTAATTGCATATCATTATTTTAGGCCGCTTTTCCACAATTAAGTGATCCATTTTGGGTTTGCTGACCTCATGTATTTTGCGATTAGACAATGACAAAACCTTTAAATATATTTATATATTGTTTGATGGTCTTAAGACTTATAATATTTTTTTCCCGTGAATACAATAAAAAATAATCATGATCAACAATTCCTTACAGAACTATGATCTTACGATGAGATTAATCGACTATGAACTCTTGTCTTTTGTAAACCTAATCTGACTGTATATCAATTTTAAATATGAAATTTAATATCCCTTGCAAATTCAACTGTTACATGAGAATAATTTTGTATATATCTTATCTGAGACGTTCTTCTGGTTAATAAATAATATGTATATTGTCATTGGTTCAAGATTTGTTTTCCTTTAAAATGTTTTAAATCACATATGCAACGACAAAACAACTTTATATAATCTTTATTTTTCATGAATGGCGAGTACTGCAGTTTGCTGTCAAACTGCGAACCTATATATATATATGTCGACTAAGTGTACGAACGCACGAGTGTGGAATACGTTCACACGTTGTATGACTGGCGTGTATCAAATTATTTTCACCAGATCAAAGCTATTGCTGTTAATATCGATTCTTTTGTGTGGCGAGACTTCATGTTGGCTAGCATACCCTCAAACACATGTGAGGGCACACACACATGTGTGTGTCGATGAATCACGTGTTATCTTACAGCTGTTAAAGTTACGGTACGTGTGCACATTACATACAGCGATTGTGTATAATCTCGGAACCACATTATGTGTATAGCGAGTCGACAACATACACAACACCGACGATAAAAGAAAAAACTACACTTTGAACACCACCTTATTCTATGTCAATATCACACGAAATTATATCGTCACTCAAGCCAAGAGGAAACCACGATATTGTTTAACTAAAACTACCGTGACAAACGCGAAATAATTTACAGTCAGCATGGCTCCGACATAGCACCAGGATTGGGCCACGAATCTATTGATCCACGTGTGGGACTGGACACAAAGGGTGAGCAAGTACAGATTGTTTTAATGTTGGATTTTGTCTGTCCTTTGTTACTCTGGTTGCTTGTATTTCATGTACTGTCTCGCTGTTTAGTATTTTATAACTTAAAAAAGTACGTAGTTAAATCTCGTAGTTTGTATGTTGTAAATTTTTTAATAAATATATTTAAAATATTTTTATAACCGATGTATATAATTAAGTAAGTAATGTAAAAAGAAAACTTCTCAACAACGAGTCTTAATTAAGTACTTTCATCTCTTCCGGGAGATTCTTCAGACTGTTTAGTTATAAGTATATAACTATGACGAACAGCTGTATGTTGTTCCGTTTCTTCTTATTATTATTATTACAGTGTATTATTATTATTATTATTATTTCTTATACTATGGTAATGCGATCCTTTTCTGATGCATATTATGGGGGCAGTTTGGGGGACATCCGTAATGGTCCCCCATAACAATTAGTACTTGTTTATTTTTGGCTTACTATTTCTATTATCAAAGTTTGAAGGCGCAATCACCTGTGTGTGTGTTACAGGCATCATTCTATTTCACCAACTTTTGTAGTAGCATGCTGGTTAGATATATACATATATTTTCATTTTCAGTGGTGGTATATGATTTATTTATAAATTATGGACTTTAATTGAGGTCAATATGTGGCTATATGAACATGAGAAAGTGATATTGACCGAGACGAAATCGAGGTTAACATTTCTTTCGCAGGTCTATTACCCCATATTTATGAAAATAAATGTCTTCAATTATTATATAAGAGGATAATGATGTTTTTATAATTAAACAAGATTGAACGTATACAAATATTTACGGAGGATATTACTGCATTTGGTAGAGTGTATTGTTACAATTGAAGTGATGTCATAAAGTAAATATTAATCTGCTGTTTCTAAAAATTGGAACGAAGAGAAAGTAGGAAATATTACAATATAATAAATGGTGATATATGATATAGTATGCTGTTAAAACTCGTTGTATATGATATATCAATATGCGGTTGAAATATGGGTGGAAGTACATGTATATAGAAAGTTTCTGATTATAGAACAACTTGCTATGTCCCTTGATCCAACACTTTTATTGTTTTATTAGGTTATGTTAAAACTTTCGAGAACTATATATATGCATGTATATTACTAGACAAACAACCTGATGTTGAAAACCAGCTCCTCTCACCTTTTACCTTATTGATACGGTTATTTCCGGAAAGTTACTGAAGTGGTGTTTTATTTTCAATCGGACTAACTCCCTGGGTGGGTATGGGGCTTCACTTTACTTTCTATTTAGTTAAAGTGATATTATATTTCTACAATGATATAAAGAAAATCGATGTAGTAATATAAACTAACCATGATGGTGATATCAATAATTAATAAGGCGATGTCATCTGTTCAGTTGCAATTTCATTTCATTATCCATATGATGGCTGTTTATAAGTATATGAGAAATGGATGATTTCACTACATGAAGATAGTGAATTCATTTTAATATGGTGATATCGCTATAATGAGTATGTGACATAGCCGATCCAGTTTGGCTGTATCAGTAAGATATAAAAAATATAATGATTGGAGCACAATAGGTAACTCCCTCGGCGTGAGGAATAACTTTCTTCGGCGGAGGGACCAACTCAAAAGCCGGAATTTGTAGCTAGGGCGAGTTTAAGTTTTTCTTAGAAGATTAAACTTGATGTTTATTTATTTTTATTCTACCTGCAATTTATACTATTTAAAAAGTCAAATTGTTATAACAACTTTATCCTCGCTTTTACCTTGACTCCGCTGTTAAGGGAGTAAGTCATCTATCAGTCGTGAGCGTGGTCCGAAAACTAACCCACTCGGCAGTTTCCGTAACCTCCTCACAGAAATGGCAAAAGCCATTAGATTAGAGGTTGGCGGAGATTGCACTGACCTGACCATCCTTGCTATTAATATAAAAAGAGTAGATAGGTTTTCGGAACTTGCTGTTTGATTTATTCTGATTTTTGAAATATGTATACTTTGTTTCAGTATAATGAAATCAGTATGTATTTGAAGAATATATCAAGTTTCTGATTCCCCGACTATATTGTAATGAAGTTGATATTGCTGAAGGTTTAATTTCCCATACTAAAAATGTTAGATTTTCAGTATTTGCTTAATTCCAAAGAAAAGGAAACATATTTTCCTCTTTGTGCCATACATACACTTATGGAGTGCAACAGCGGATTACAAACTCACTAAATGAAAAATTATAAATCACATAACCCAGTAAATGAAGATCATCATATCTCGGCTAGACATATATGCACACAAACAAATATCTATCGAGGTCAAGGTCATTAAAGATGTGGAAATAGCATGCGCTCAGGAGAAGATTAAACAGTCAATAACTAAGCAATGCTCATATGTATGGGATGTTTAGGAAAGATGAATTTTCAGTAGAACATTTTATGTTAATTCGGTTGAATCGAATAGCTTAAGTACGAACTACAAAATGTAGAATACGATTAATTTCTCAGTAAATGGTTTATGTAAAACGACCACCTTAAAAGAGACCGAGTTCTATTTGTATTGGGGTTAAAAGTCTTCGGAAAAGTCTGGGTCATATGAGGACGGGTGCCTAGGGAGACACAGAGGGGAAAAGAGAGTAGAGAAGAAAGAAAGAAATGATAAGGGTAGGAAGGAAAGATATGATATACAACTGTAAAAGTATCGGATCTCGGGATGTAGCAAGCTTATGGTTCCCCTCCATAAGAAACTTGTATGTCCCACAATACATAATTTAACTGAAATACGATGATTTGCAACGTTAGTGATTTGTGTAAAAACACTACTTTAAAAGATATCGATGTTTGTTTTTATTGGGATTTTAACATTCCCTTTACAGTCAGGGTCATCACGAGGCGGGTGGCTAAGGGGATACAAGCAGATAGAGAGAGTAGGTAGGAAATATAGAAAAAGAGAAATGTAAATATTGGCCCCTTCATTGCCCTCTTAGTAGAAGACACAGGGAAAATTAAATTCCCGACAATACAGTGGCCCCATATGTTTTGCCTCACGACGACATGTGGTGGGTTTGCGCCTACTAGGTAGTTCTTTAGTTATCCAATGTTCCCGAGGGGGGCGGGGAGGCACATTAGTGGTAAACAAACAAGGACAAAACTACCACAGTGTCATCAAACCATGACAAAACAAACCACAGCGTAAAGACACACAGCGCAAGGGACAAACTGTACCACCGCGTTAATATATAACAAAAGATGGCCACAAGGTCGCCTTACAACGACAAAGTATACCACACACCATCACCTGGATAAAAGGCACAACGTCAACACAAAGACAAACATGGAGGCGCACTGAAGCTACAACACAAGGCCAGACCACCAACTGGACCAACACACGATGATAAAACACACACGAACGTAAGAACCCAAAGACAAATTAGACTACAGTGTGAACACATGTCATCCCATAATGACACAATATTCACCAGCGTCAGGACACACCAAAAGTAGAAATGACGTCAATACTCTAGGACCGATTATCCCACAGCTTCCACACAAGGACAAAATAATTCACCAGGTTTAATATACTAGGACAAAATAAGATCTTCCTTTAGCACACAATGAAACCACAGCTCCGTCAACAAACAATGACAAAACAAACCACAGCTCCGTCAACAAACAATGACAAAACAAACCACTGCTCAGTCAACAAACAATGACAAAACAAACCACAGCTCCGTCAACAAACAATGACAAAACAAACCACAGCCCTGTCAACAAACAATGACAAAACAAACAACAGCTCCGTCAACACGCAATGACAAAACAAACCACAGCTCCGTCAACACGCAAGGTCAAAAATAGCAAAGCACCAGTGCCTAAAGTTGCAAATACCACAACGCACAATGAGATCATTTACACCACCGTCAAAGCACAAGGGTAACATTGACTACAGCGCCAAGACATAAGGCCACAACATGCCACAGCGTTAGCACACAAGACCACAACATACCACAGCGTTACCACACTTAACACTCAAGAACACAATATACCACAGCGTCAACACACAAAAACAAAATTCTGACAGCGTCAGCACACAAGGACAAAATATCTCACGTCAACACAAACGACAGAATATACGACACGTCAATACCAAAAATAAAACTGATCGTTGACGTCATCATTTTAAAAAGACGTTATAATTTAAACATTGAATAGTACTGGTTCGATGACATACGCTACAAAATTTGGCGAAATGCTCAATTTTGAAAATGTTACAGTTAAGTCTATTTCAAATACGGTAATACTTTAATTTGGGATTCATATTGCCTATGAATGCCAAATAAAAGCAGACAAATGCTTAACTAATATTGTTTTAAACCGGGAACGTCGTAAACAGTTTGTTTCTAGTCGAATTCACTATATCAATTTGTTTTCCAGCAATGTCTTCCATCCTTACCGATTCGAACTTGAGCCTTGCTTTCCATAGTAACCATGACATCAGCAGGAAGCAAGCTGTGGCAGACCCTCCAGACGTTCCCACTGGAATGTGGTCTCGGATACAACACGATCCGATCTACAGACAAAAATTCATCAACACTTTGTGTTTATATGCCTCGTTTCTTGGCATGGTAATCGTTACAAGTATTTTTTTATCAATATTGAAAACTTACTCAATGGTTAAAGCATCAGCTCCTTATGATGTTTTGTTATACATATTTGTATTCAAAACAGACGCGATATGTCGGTTAAGCTATCAAGGATCCACGTACCTATGCTAAACAAAATAACTATGCATTTGAAACTTATTTTTCCGTCATGACTATAACTTTCATAAATCATTTTTAAAAAGAACAGTAAACCTTGGTCAGAAAGAAGAAAAACTTAATTAAATTCAAAGGAATATAAGAGTATAAGAGTATATCACAAACCTTTGCATCGTTCAGTCTGCCCTGTTGATACTTTCAGGAGAAAAAAATGCAAGTGATACCGCAATAAATTCATTTTTATATGTTTACTACTTACTGTATACAACCTTCACACAAATTTATTGATATACATTCGAAGACCGTATGTTTCTATTAGTCCCCAGCGAGGACGTTATTTAACATAACTACCCCAGTTGATTTTGTTGATTTTGTTCCAGAGCTTTGCCAAAGGCCAAATTGGACCCTCTTTCCTTGACCTACAAGCTATCAGTGGAGTAGGCCTAAAAGGGGGATCTGGTATGCTGACCACAATGTACATAGGCTATATGGCTGGAGCCATACTAGGCGGGATTCTGTACGACAAATTCAAACGATCACTCTTATTGGCCTTCGCCAAGTTTATATTAGCTTGTGCTTTAGTGGCCATACCCTGGTGTTCAATGTATTGGCTGATGGTAATGGCTTTCTTCTTCCTAGGAGCAACAGTAGGCGCTACCGACGCTAGTAAGTATATTACGGACAGAAATAAATACTTGAGGATAAGATAAATATATAGGTATATTCAAACACCATTTACACGCGCCAATACTGCCATGCACGCCCTTCTCGTCCCTATTACAGGCGCCGTAGCACGTTTACTTCCCAACAAATGACTCATAATCACGCATCGCCTTCTCCCGATCCATGATTCGAAAAGTCAAGTAAGACAGTTTTGTCATGGACATGAACGCAGATACATATATAAAACATTGTATATATCTTAATGTTAAAGTAAATGGAAAGTAACTCTAAGTTAGAAAAATGCCAAACATGAATATTAGAACTCTTTGTTGGAAAACAATAAGGCTTGGATTCTCTAAATTACAAACTTTTGTTCTACCCCTACAAACAGATAGCAATGTTTAACGCGTGAAATCACTGTTTAAATTCGTATCATTTGTTATTATTACTTTTCTCCCTATTGCCATATATCGCAAAATTCACCTCCATATTAGCACATCTGTTTCTTGTTAACATTTTGATTTAAACATTGCACTTTTTTATCTTTCCAGTTTGCAATGCTGAAATACAGTTTATATGGGGCAAAGATGGCAGACGTTTCATGCAGTGTTTACACTTTATGTATTCGTTTGGTGTAGCCCTGACGCCCCTCATTACGATCGCATTCCTAGAGGAGGCTCCGGACTCTGTAACGTCAGAAGGACAGTCAATATTTCCTCATCTACATAATAACACTGTGCTTAATTCCACAACAATCCTTAATATATCTGGAGAAGTGTTTATATCTCATCAAAGCAACACATCTCAAAATGGAAGCAGTATGCCTAATAAAGATACTGAATATGAAAGAAGTCCTGAATTATATAAAGCATATATAATAACGAGCTGTGTAATAATGACTGTCTTTGTAATGCAACTAAGCTTTTTCTTTCGTTATGATAGAAAAAAAACCACAATAACAAAGAAAGAAACAGAAAGTGTGACTACAACGAAATCAAGGCTGCCGTTGTCTATAAAGATACAAGCAATTCTCAACATGGCAGGTATTTTGGCACTAATATGCGGAATAGACGATACACTTGTGTCATTTTTAGCTACATTTTGTGTCAAAGAATTTGGATGGACTAAAACCGAAGGATCCTTGCTAACTTCCCTAACCTGTTTCATCGTTGTGATTGGAAGGTTCCTTGCAATCTTTTTGGTTGGTGTTATGTCACCGGTAACACTAGTAGGACTTCATAGTGTCATGACGGCCCTTGTTTTTATGGGAACTTATATATGTGTTTTGTTTAAATCTAATATAGGCCTCTGGATAGTAATGCCAATATTCGGTTATGCCAAAGCTCCGATTTTCGCGTGTATCTTTACCTGGACCGATGAGGTTTTTGTTCCAGTTACAGGAAGAGTTTCGTCCATGTTTTTTATCGTTATCACCGCAAGTATGGCGCTTAACCCACTGATCCTTGGCTTTCTCATGGAAAACTTCTCCAACGTGTGGTTCTGTTACCTCTTCTTTGGTGAAAGTGTACTTCTCGTATTGTTGTTCTTTACAGCTTTGCTTCTGACAAGACGGGTAAAACGATTATACGGTACAAACCACGACACAATGGCGATTGAAGTGAAAGTAGCTGAAACTCTTTTAGAAAAAAGGCCTGATATTACAAGTCAATAACATATCAGGTATCTCAAGTTTTATGTGTCAAATTACATTATTGAGAAAGAAATGTGTTTCTCACAAAACATTGTAGGTAGATATAGATCACTCATGAGTGGTGCAAACATATAAATGTTAACCCGAGGGTCAATTAAGCATTAAGTTTTTTTCCAGTAACTTAACTTAAGCATCTTTGCCCGACGGTTCAGATTCCACTGTCGGCATCATCAAGGAGTGATTGGCCTAGCTTTCTCACATACTGATCGAATGTAAAATATGTTGTTAAGGTGGAGGCAATGTACGTGCTATTATCGAAATCGATGAAATGAGTGCAAAACATTGATGACGCTGGTTACTCCACCTAAAATGGTGACACGATATAGCGACGCTTTTAGGATAATAGCGCGTGTGTGCTGTCTCCCCCTAGATAACTTTTCTTTCCTAACAAAACCGAGGATGCATTTGTGATATGTGAGAGATCAACCTGTCTTGACATACCCAGGGAAAACAGTTCAAACGCGTTTTTATGCTGAAACGTCACCACCGCGTCATCAATTTATGCAGCGTAACATGTCCAAGGATAACTTTAGCAGTAAACTTTGCCGAGATCTAAACTTCAAAACTCGTACCCTGGGGGTACAATTTCTTTGTCCACATCATACAGGAATGATGTATGTTATTAATGTTTCCGAGAATGCACCTGTGCAGTGTGGGAGAATAGATGTTATTTGTATTGATTTTGATTTCCGATCTTATACTTAAGATGCTATGGCTTATATTTCATTCTATATGTGAAGGAACAATATAGACGCCAAGGGATTTGTTAAGATATCAAGACAGTTTACAATGTGTTCGGTATTGAGGGGGGAAAGTGAGGAAAAAGGGTAAAGTCTTTAAAATTTTGATGATCGACCAGAAGAAATAAAATTAATTTCATTCAAAATGGATTTTGTCCTATTTTATTCGAAATTAGTTATTATTTTTATTTAAAACATCTAATGCAACATCTTGAAAGCTTATGTCAAGGCACCACGGCATTCGTCATCAACCTGTCAACTGTTCCTTTACGGAGACTAATTATTGTCAAGAACGGGTGAAGAGACTTGGGCCAAGTTAAGAAAACACATGAGCTTAATCCGAAAAGGAGAGGGGGGAGGGGTGTTAGATAATTTAAAGGCATCTTTAAAAACAGTTGTTTTTTGTAGCATAATTACTTTTGCCAATCTAAGAACTTCACGTAACATTGACAATAGATTAGAAAACTAGAAAAACACATGACTCTTTTGCTGCCCTTCTATTTTATTTACAAAAGAAAGCAAAATTAATCAAAGTACTGAAAGTACTCCAGACACATGCTTTCTTGATTATAACATTTAAGAAAAACGAACACAATACAGTCAGTAGAGATGCAGCTTAAACGCCATTTAAAGTTGCTGAAAATGATGTGAACGAATATTTACTCTTATCTAATGTCTGTGTTGGCAAAAGTCCGAAATGTATTTTCCCTCCGAAGACCAACAAGTACTGCTTCAAGAAGCTTTCAATTTCAATTTCAACAAATTTTATTGACAATATAAGCAATAGTCAATAGGATCAGACATCAGGCATAGCCTATCTAAGTCCTCTCCTTAAAGTGACAACAGGTGGTAAGAAACACAGACATATATTTGTACATTGATATGATGTTTGGGATAAGGGAAGTAACTCCTTGATGTAAACAGACTTGTTCAGTATTCTTGAGATATAGTAACCCTTTCACTAGGGATATTTAATTTGAGATATTTACTAGACTATTATCTTCAGTGAATAGTATCAAGTATCTGACAATGAGTTACTGGTATTCATATAAGGTAAACTGTTGGGTATAAATATTTGGTGATATTGGATTTATTCCCTCAACAGATACAGGCCATACAGTCCATATGTATAACACACTAGCCATCACACACTGTTAAGGATCAAAAGCCAATTTCAGCAAATAGATATATAATTTGTAAGTAGGGCTACACCAACTCCTGTAAGTAAAGTAGTAATTCTTTAATTAAATTGAAAGGAGTTACTCCATATCTTGATGTAAGCTTAAAAAAGAAGAAGAAAATAGAAAACATAAAAAAACACACAAAAAAAACACACAAAAATACACACAAAAATACACACACAAAAAAAGAAAGAAAAAACCCATCTAAGCTGCCCAGAGCCAATTTCATTCAATAGGTGTATATATACCAGCTAAATTAGTAATTATCAAAGGTAGAATAAAGTATCTAATTAATTCCATATTATATTACATTAGATATATCTTGTACTACTATATCATTGTAGTTCACTGTGGGAGGTATAAAGCTTTTATACATATAACTTGAAAGAAAATAAAAAGAATAAAAGAATAAAAAATAAATAAAAATGTAAGAATGTATAATTATGTTCCAAAAAATAGTAAGGGTAAGTCAAATATTATATTAATGAAAATCTTTTTGACTGCGATATAAAGTTTGATACTTGAGATAAGATATCTCTATTTTGTAAATCATTACAACTATTACAACCATTTATTAGGACATTTATACACAGATGATTGTGAGTGTGATGATTCAAACTCTGTTGGAGAGTCTGGCGAATATTATTATATTGATTACATTCAGAAAAATAATGTGCAGCAGTTTCGAAAGATCCGTTACACTCACACATTGGAGATTCAATTAAGTGATCTTTATAACGATCATAATTTAGATTACTAGCATTATTTCTTAATTGGCAAAGTATAATGTTTACATCACGATTGCCAAAGTATTTAAAAACATCATTTGTTTCAGATTTCATATATTGCTTTGTAGTTAGTAACCTTTTTAACTGTGTGGTAGATTGGATGCTAGTAATATCTGGGGCAAGTCTATTCATTTCATTTAGCATGGACGGAAAAAAACTTTCAAAATATTTTACAGTACGACATAAAGGGGGGTCAAATAATCTGTTTGTTCGGAGGGGATATCTGTCAAGGGTTTCATCATGAATATATGGTTGAATAATTTCTCTTAGGTAATCTGGGGTTTCATTATTCATTATTCTATACATTAAAATTAGTTTATGTTTATTTCTTCTGCAGCTCAAAGTTTCCCATCCTAATTCCTTGTATAATTTATCATGTGATGTCCCTCTACGTAAACCTGTAATTAATCTTGCAGCCTCTAATTGTATTGATTCTAATAAGATTCAAGAAGCTTTGGGCTCTGCTTCTGCCATAAATAAAGAGTTAACTTCCGAATGAATAATTATATGACTGTTGCTCCTTAGTACGTATTGGTAGAGGGTGAAACATAAATTTCCTACAGACCAGCAGCAGTGCACGAGTGTCACAAATGTCTTTAGGTCAACTAGGATTTTGCCATGGGTAATATGTCAGTAAACACCTCCTCGCATGATTATGTAAATAGTAACAGCATGAAACTTAAATCTATTTCTATATCCTCCATCCGGGAACCGATGGGGGACTAATTAACATTGTGTCATAAAACAATAATCTCACTTCAAATAAATATTGTAATACATCAAACTTCAGTTATCAATTTTTATGCAAAAAATAGGGTAGGCTTGTGAAAGTGATTTTGAGTTCATATTTTTCTGATATTGAAAATATCATTTTCTTACGCTCGTTAATTAGGGGTATAGCATGGAATCCATTCTACAATAAGTCAGTCAAGTGTATTGTGTGTTATCATGAAATGTGCTAAGGCAACAGTTAATCACAGTCCCCAACATTTTCCAAGTTTAGGGTCAATTAAGCTTAACCAGTGCTTGCTAATTTCACATCATGTGAAATGTACTAGACTTGCCAGGTAAATTCCCATGGACAGTTACATGCTGTGTTATTACTAATAGTATATTATATACAGATTTTCAAGCCTCTTGTGGTTTAATACTGCTCTGTAAGTTACAGAAGTATGTTCATGAAACTACACACTGGCGTATTGCATGTATGTGTATTTATACAAGTATTTGATACACAAACAGTTATGCCAGTGGTCTTGGACAGCGTGGGGTTGGGGGCCTCCTCAGCAAATACATCTCAAAGAAATTTGTATCGGAAAGTCCCCCATCTTTCATAACTTCCTCATTTAGATATATTTCTTCAAATATTTGGCAATTTTCAACTTTAACATACAAGTTTGTATTTGGATTTTAATATTGGTTGTAACCTAAAATAAAGTTCTGATTCCAGGACATACCAATACGAGGCTCGATACCCATAAAGGGGGCCCCATGAACTGTTGCAAAATGCACCAACCGATGAGGAAAGTGACTAGGTGGGGAGGATATGTGAGGGAGCTATGGCCTCAACTAGAAAGGAAGTCTCCATCAAGGAAGTGGTAATTAGTAAACACAGAAACAAACCCTAGTGGTAAATAGCAAACACATAAACAAACCTTAGTGGTAAATAATAAACACATAAACAAACCCAATGAGTTTTTGATGAGAGATCATGTATTCCCGGTGTATGTATAAATATGTATATGTGATAAAATGGCTTTGATGGACACTTTTGAATCCATATTGGGCCACAACTGAACAGCATGTATACGATGTCTGGCAGTCATGCAGTCCATTTAATGTTCACGTGTTAAATCTTTATTGCACCATAAAGTTTTGCACAAAATTAAGTTAGATACCTGTCTTGGCAAGCCACCTTGTACTCTCCCAACTTGCATTTAAGTAAAATGCCAGAGTGGAATGAATCATGAACATTTACATGTATTTTAATTTTCACCAAAAAAAAAAAAACCTGTTTATCCAGGGCCATCATGCAAGAAAAAGATTCTCGGATTAAAAACTTTAAATTTACTCAAAACATAATATATTGACTTCAGCATCAAGGTGACAGTGCGTCAGAGACGTGGACTATATATTGGCTTTATACAAGCTTGGGGTGATACATAATATCATTCTGGAGTTTCATTTATAATGCACACTGTCTATTTCGGAACAACTTAACATGTTATTCACTGATTCAGAGTACGTACCTTGCCACGCAATCTTTACAAAAGCATTCAGTTAACACGTCGAGATACTCGATGATGCAGACGGCATAGTACCGCAATATGAGTGCCAATCGGCAATCGAAGGGATGAGTGCTCAGGGATTTCAAGCCCCCGCCAATTCAATAAACTTTTGCCAATATTTCCTATGTCATGCATTGCACCACAGGAGTCCGAAACTATGTCAGAAATAAAAATAAAAATAACAACACAGTGGAAACCGCTTATTATGAAATTCTATTTGCTTTGGAAACTTGAGCAATAATACAAATTAATGAAGTAATAATTGAAATCAATTGCTAATTGTCATTAATATCGGCTTGTTGAAAAAATTCGAGAAGATTTCATTTTTTCGACGTAATGTAAATTCTACTTTTACTTTTCAAATAACTTCGAGCAAGAACTATGAACTCCCGTTATACTTCATCCTCGCTAACGATATCGTAATGTTACAGTTAATAAGATGAAAGAAGTGATATAAATAGTCATGATATACCTACTTTGCACCGCGAAGTTGCATTACATTTTGGCCCATAAGCGGCATAATATTTTGCCGCGCTATGTAAATTACGATCACGTGACAATTACATGCATCGTAAGTCGTGCGGTGAAATCAAATTGCATAGAAACAATAACAACTAAAAACGCCTTTTTTTAATAATATCCAAATATTCTTTTCAACGAAAATAGTGTATAGTGTAAATAAAACAGTCGTCGTTAGTTGTTTACTTTGGATCGACTTCCGGCACCATGCTGTCAGGACGGCATGCCCCGATTTTGACACTTTTCAACGTAGACACGGGAAAATCAACATGTAATGCAATAGAAAATAGGGAAACCATTGCTTAAATGATTAAAAACACACGTCTTCCTTCTGGAGTAATATTTTCATTGAATCGG